TTGATAGTTTGCATTCTCTTTCTCTCCATCTCTCATCTCTCTCTCTCTGTCTCTTTCTCTCTTTAGTTCTCTTTCTTGACTGGTCCAGCTGGAAGTATGTCAGTTTCATCAACCATTTTAAAAAAGGAAATCTGGTTTTAACTCTTCTTTAAATCTTTGGTAGAATTTGTTAGTGTGATACCAACGCTTCTCAAATTCTTCCAAAAAATTGAAGAGGAGAGAGCATTTCCAATATCATTTTACAGTGCCAGTATTACCCTGATAACTAAAACCAGACAAAGACTCTATTAGAAAAAGGATGTTATAGGCCATTATCCTTGATGAACATAGATGCAAAAATCCTCAACAAAATACCAGTAAACAGAATTCAATAGCATATTAAATGGATCATACCTGATGACCAAGTGGGATTTATCCCTTGGATGCAAGGGCAGTTCAATATACACAAATCAATAAATGTGATACACCACAATCGCAGAATGAAGGATAAAAATCATACAATCATCTCAATCACGTAGAAAAAGTATTTGACAAAATTCAGCACCCTTTCATGATAAAAATTCTCATGAAATTAGTTATAGAAGGAATGTACCTCTATATAGTACAGTCCATACAGTTGTACATCACTTAATGATGGGGACACTTTTTGAGAAATGCATCAGTAGGTGATTTTGTCATTGTGCAAAAATCATAAAGTGTATACTTACACAAACTAGAAAGTATAGCCCTACACACATAGGCTATATGGTACTAATCTTACGGGACCACCATCATATAAGTGGTCCATCATTAACTAAAATGTTGTTATGTGGTGCATGACTGCATATGAGAAGCAAGTAGCTCATGTCATACTCAATGGTGGAAAACTAAAATCTTTTCCTTTAAAATTGGAAACAAGACAAACATGCCCACTCTCACTACTTCTATTCATCATAATACTGGAAGTTCTAGCCAGAGTAATTAGACAAGACAAGGAAATCTAAATTTGAAAGGAAAAAGTAAAAGTGTCTTTGTTTGCTGATGCCATGATCTTATACGTAGAAAAACTTGCATAACTTTCATAGGTCTTCTAGAATTTTGATAGATTAGGGTTTTACAGTTAGGTCTATGAGGTCTATTTGAGATAATATTTCTACATGATAAGACTTATGATTCAAAGTTCTTTTCTTTTTTTTTTTTGTATATGTACATCCGTTGTTCTAGTAACATTTGTTGAAAAGACTATCCTATTTTCACTAAATTGCCTTTAAACTTTTTCAAATGTCAGTTGTTAATGTTTGTGTGCATCTATTTCTAAGCCCCTGTTATTAATGCTAATATCACATTGGCTTTCTACTGGAGCTTTATAAGACATCTGAAATTCAGGTAGTGTTAGCTTTCCAGTTTGTTGTTCTTTTCAAAGTTGTTTTGGGTATTCTAGATACTTTTCATTTTGATAGGACTTTAGGATAATTTCTCAATTTCTACAAAAAAAGTTTACTGAGATTTGGGTGTTGGATATATTGAATCTATAGAACAATTTGTGGAGAATTTACATCTTACTAATATTAAGTCTTCTGGCCCAAGAACAAGATATATCTTTCTATTTATTAGGTTTTCTTTAATTTCTTTCAACAATATTTTATACTTTTCAGTGTCTAAGTCTTGAATATATTTTATAAGATTAATCCCTAAGTATTTGGCATTGTTATGCTATTGTAAATCATTTTATTATTTCTTATTAAATCTTACTTTCTAACTATCTGTTACTAGTATATAGATATACAATTGATTTTGTGATTTATCTTATACTCTATAACCTTGCAAAATTCACTTATTATTTCTAGATTATTTGTAGATTTTTAAAGACTTTCTATATAGACAATTATATAATTTGCAAAAAAATTCAGATTTACTTCTTCCTTTATAATTTTAAAAACTTCTATTTCATTTTCTTGTGTTATTGCACTGGTTAGACCTACAGTACAGTGTTAAATATAAGTGATGAAAGCAGAAATCTATGACTTCTTCCCGATCTTAAGGAGAAAGCATTCATATTTAAATATGATATAAGGTATGAGTTTTTTATCTGGATACAGACATTCTCTTTTATTTCTATTTTACTGAGAGATTTTTTTCATCAGAAACATATATAGGATTTTGTCAGATGCTTTTCCTGCATCTTTTGTGATGATCACTGTCTTTTTCATTTTTAGTGATTACTATTTTGTTTAGAATTTTTCATCTATGTTTATGTAGGATATACATATGTGGCTTCCTTTTCTTGTAATGTATTTGTCTTGCTTTGGTATCAGGGTAATGCTGACATTATTGAATGAGTTGGAAAGTATTCTCTCTTCTTCAAATTTCTTGAAGAGTTTGTGCAGAATTGATGTTACTTCTGGTTTTGTTTTAGAAGTCAATTAGTTAAGCCTTGTACTGCAAATCTGATTCCTAGGTGGCAGCTTTCATTTCACTGAAGATCTTTTGTTTTAGTAGCTGCGTTCAGTCTGTCCCACAAATGTGTGATTCAGGCTCCAGCCTCAGAGGTGAGTAGATAGAATTTAGAAATCTCTCTGTGTCTTTCCTTTCTGGGATTTCCTCTCTATGACTAATGCCCAAGGTTTCCCCAGATTCAGTTTTCTGTTTTCCCCAGACCAGAAAGACTACAGTTTTCCACTGCTCCAGTTACTCCAGATATTCTAGTGACTGAGACTGGTTCCAAGATAAAAGCTATGAAAATAGGAACTCATTTCTTACAAATCCTCTACTCCAAGTGTAGACTCTCTATCAGAATGTGCCTGCTTCACTTTACTCGCTAGTACCCCTACACAAGCACTCTTTGTATTATGTCCAGAATTTATAGATGTCATCTGCAGGGGTTTCAGTGTGGTAGAATCTTATTCAACCACTATTGGATGCAGAAGTCTCTGTGTTTGCTTTTTGTATTTTCTCTGACCTTTCCCTCGACTTTAAACTCTCATTTTCTTAGTCATCGCTGCATTGAGTGTGCCTGTGTCTAACAACCTCACTGCCACTTCAGTGTCCTACATCTAATCTGCTGGGAACTTAGAAACTAAAACTCCTAACATAGTAGAATTTGGTATAAAAGAAGAGTAGATGGTCTCAGAGATATCCTTATGTCCATAAAGATTATGACCTTAATTATATAAACATTGTGTAACAAAGTTTGGCTGCTTTCAAGTTTTATTTAATCACTTCAAAGTTTTTATTTCTGCTGTATTTGTTAAATTAGAAACTCTCATTATATTAAACCTGACAAAGCAAGATGTTTTCCTTATACATGTACAGACTGCCACACAGACCTACAAGCACGCTTTTTAAAATTTAAGCCAATTTACCCAGCATCTTTGAACTGCTTGAGAGAAATATGTGCAAAACCCCCCATAGACTTATCTTTATTAATTATACAAAGAACATAATGATTTATACATATTGGTTAGGCTGAGTACGTAGAATGAAAACTAAAATTCGTTTTCAACTATTGATAACCCAGCGTGGGTTTTTGATTCAGGATTTATTGTTAATCTTGCAACAATATTTTTTATAAATTGAAGCATTTGCTATTTTCTTTTTTTAAGCTGTCCCTAGGATGCCCTTGTAACTGAAAGGCTTAATAGGCTTTACGGCTGTGAATTATTTTCACCAATACTCGAGTGTACAACATAATATATACTAGAAGTGCTGAGTCTATTCTTCGAATCAGTACAAGCTCACACAGCTTATTAAAACTTTGTTCAGTTTTCCCATTTTTTCTGTCCATATTTGATTTCAGAACATTTTGGGTTTTTCCCACATGAGCTAAACTTGAAGCTTATGGATTTACCAATACTCTATGCACTTTTGAACTTTGCCATCTGATCCTAAGAAACACAGGTTCTTTTTGTTCCTATGCATAAGAATATATTATTGGTAGGTATTTTTACTTCAGTTTCATCTAAATGGCTAATCCATATGGATGGGTAAATATCTCCATCAACCACACATATCTGTATATTTTTCAAGCCAGTTATTTTCGATTCTACCCACTCAGGTTAAATTGGAAAAGCAGAGATGTAGCATTTCTTTTTCTCTCTTTGACTTCCCATTAGTTAGTTGGATATGACTCAAATAAGATTTCTTGTTGTTGTTGGTCTCAAAAGTAACTGGCCCCTAAAGACCAGACAGAAGAGACATATTTGGAATATGAAAATTAATGTAAGCAGTTTTTAATTAACTTAGAGGGACCCTCTTACACTTAAGATATAACATTGTTATCAAAGAAATAACTAACAGAGCTAGGAGAAATTACATATGGCTGAAACAAGTGAAAGCTCTCCTTTAATTTTCAAATGGATTAGAAATATGGTAAAAAAAAAAAAATTGTTTGAGGGTGACCTCAAAGAGTCTAGGTAATAGCGATAAATGATCTTCATTTAAAGAAAATGTGAAATATCCGAAAACTCTCCAAATGGCAGTCTCCAGTGGGAAATAATGGGAGCTTTGGGGAAAAAGATTTCAAGAAGCATTTTCTCATCCAGGTGCCAGACAAAATTCTCCAATAGAGATGAGCATCTTTATTTCTTATTTTCGAGCCAGTACAATAAGTAGAATATGTTATAGTGATGACTGTGGATACCCATATGGGTGAGTGTGTTTATCTTTAATTCGGGCGCTGATTCATGGTCTCTGACTTATGTGGGTTTTGGTAAAGCTATTAAATTATTATAAGTTATAATCACTAGCAACTGAGGCCAAAAATAAAACTTGTGACTTACATAGGAACAACACCGTCTGGTTGCATGAACACTTCTAAGCCATCCATTTATTTTTTTATTTATTTTTTGAGGAAGATTAACCCTGAGGTAACATCCGCCGCCAATCTTCCTCCTTTTGCTGACGAAAATTGGCCCTGAGCTAACATCCGTGCCCATCTTCCTCTACTTTATATGTGACATGCCTGCCACAGCATACACAGCATGGCTTGACAAGAGATGCATAGGTCCGTGCCTGGGATCCACACCCGCAAACCCCAGGCTGCTGAAGCAGAACACGCGAACTTAACCATTACACCATTGTGCTGGTCCCTATTTTGCTTTTTTGGTGTGGCTATATTTCGCAGTCATTAAGCAAAATCAAAATATACCTTAGATATGTAACATGAGAGCTGTATGGCACAATCCTGGAGGGAGGAAGGGAATTGAAGCCCTCAGTGAACATAGAAACTTTTTAAGGACTGACTGGGACCTGGATATTAGAGTGAGAAGATTCAATGGCTTTCTGGTCAATCCAGGTAAACAGGGAAGATGGTGGCACTTATCAAACCACAAATTGTCTTTTCTTCATGGAATTGGCAAACATTGAAAAGCTGCTTGAGCTGAAACTCATGATGGTAAGATTCCTGGAATCCTGGAAAGTGGCTGTCCTAGCTGATTGCAGCACAAGCAGCTGAGATCTGGTGGCAGAAAGCAAGCAGAGTGGGCAATTCTTCAGAGAGGTGTTCTATCTGCTTTCAGGATTCTGAGCTTTCCTGTGAGGCAAAGGAAGGACTCACTTACCTTGATGATGATACATTCCAGGTAGGCCTTCAATAAGATCGACATCGACAGATTCCATGCAATTCTGTTAGGAAACAGTACACTCATTGAGGTTTTTCTTGTGGGTAAGGTAAATGGATTTTATAGACATGGAAAGTGCACATTTTAATGTTTGTATACATATATGTATAGATATATATTTTAGCTAAAATTCTTGATATTATTGCACGAGATAGTTTTTTTTAATATATATATTTTTAAGAATTCTGTTTCTGGAAAAGGGAGCGGACTACATAGAAGTAGCCCATGAATGAATTTACCCAGAGAAATTCTTGGGAGATTGTGTGAAAGGTGGCAGTACCTAAACTCCTATTTTGTATCCAAAAGGCAAGTATAATATTCTGGGACTTGAACGCCATTTTTAAAACATCAGTTGGAAAGAAAAGGAGGAAGGAGTTTGGAACTGGTAGAAGATCATGAGTAAAACCAGGCCAACCCACAGTCAGGCACAACGTCTAGAGGGCAGGAGAGGCATAACGGTGATTTTCAATGGGTACCAGAATTCTGAGTCGTCTCAGCAGAGCTGTGCATAGTGGGCAGCATGGAGACATGGGAAACACATCTTACAGAATCAGGAGTGGGGATGCTTACATGGGTGAGCTCTTTGCATGTGACTGGTTCCTGGACCCTGGGCCAGGGTACTAGCAAGTATGTCATCTCTGGAAACATGTTCGTGGTGACCAGAAGAACTTTGATTTGGGGGCAAAATGAAAGTCTAGGGTTACCAGTGCCCTGGTTTGGAGGACGCTTGTAGTTAAATAACACTCATTTCATGTCTAAGGAGGTCAGGAAACTGGAGCAAATAAAGGTTTAGTTATGCAGACCTGTACACAGAAGCAAAAGTGGGTGGCAGGAGAACTAGATAGATCTTGACAGAAAGAAGCCTAAGTTCACTTTCTGTGGTAGGCGGATTGCTTCTCTTCTCCTCTCTATATGTATATATATATATCTCAAAAAAATGTTCTTATATTGCAAAATATCATTGAACTCTATGCAAATATAATGTTGATACATCCAAATTACCTTTCCCCAATCATATTTCATCACCATTGTTTACTGTTTTTTCTTTTTTCTCTATAGGCAGTTTTGTCATCGTTGTTGGTTTGTTTATTGCTTTTAAGGAAAAAGGTACCTGCTGCTCTCTGTAGAGGCCAGGACTGAAGGTCTCCTTGGAGGAGGTCTTCCCTGTCCTAGAAAGGTCTGTATAGCCTTTTTGTTATTTGCATGTAGAATGAATACGCATCGATTGCCCTAGGAAATGGGTTGATAGGACCTTATATGGTTTATTCTTAGCTTTGTTTCTTCTTTGCTTTGTTTTCTTTTTTATTGATCAAATTAGTAATGGCACATCGCCCAAACTCCTAAGGTGTTGATAATTGAGTATTGAACATACTATAAGATGAAATTGTGACCATGTGCTTGTGGCTCTTTGGGAATAGAAAATTAACCCAAAGTTTAAAACATTTGCATTTTACACCTCTATCTGCTAAGAAAATTCAACATTTTAAGGGTCATTTTCTTATTAAATGCATTTTTTTATGTTTATCTGGTAGTCAGAATTCTAAGAATGACTTCCAAAGCCCCTCCACCTGTAAAATCTTCTCCCCTTTAAGTGTGGGTGGGCCTATGAAAATGATGATTTATCATTCCCATAATTATGTTAAATTATGTAGCAAAAAGGAATGATCTGGCTGGCCCTAATCTAGTTACATGAGCCTTTTAAAGTGAAAGAGTTTTTTTAAAGCTGGTGGCAAAAAGGGAAGCAGAGAGATTCAAGCACCAGAAGGATTTGGCACACCGTAGCTGGCTTGTGGATACGAGGAGCCACATGATAAGAAATGCAGGGGACCTCTAGAAGCTCAAAGTGGCCTCCTGCTGGTAGTCAGCAAGGAAATGACCTGTCAGTCCTACAAACACAAGGAACTGAATTCTGACAACAACCTGAATGAGCTTGGCAGCAGATTCAACCCTAGATCCAGAGAGTAGGAGCTCAGCCTGACTGACATCTTGATTTTGGCCTGTGAGACCATAATCAAAGCACCTAGTCAGACTCATCTGTACTTCTGACTTATGAAATGTGCAAGACAATAAGTGGGTATTGTTTTAAGCCTCTAAATTTGTGGTAACTAGTTAAACAGCAATGGAAAATTAGTAGAGTCTACCATATGCTCTGTATGAAGTGTTGAAAACACAAGATGAATAGAACTCTATTGCTTCTTTTGAGATATTTACAGCATAGTAAACAAGAACACCAAATATAATTACAATGTAGTAAATGCAATGATAGAAGTTGTTTATAAAATACTGTGGGAATGCAAATATGTGGTGGCAAATTCTGCCTAGGGAAATCAGCAGAAATCTTTCAGAGATGATGAATGTTGGATTTTATAATGAAAAAGTAATATGTAACAGGGACAGACAATATTATTAGGCAAAAGAGACAGAACTTCTTAATGCATGAATATTCACAACCTTGCAAAACTGATTGAAGGTGCAAAGAAGGTCAGTTTCAATTTTATAAGAAATTAACTAGTGCAAGTGTGAGTGTACCTTAGTGTTTGGAGAAATAATTCTATCTCAGAATATCCATTTGATCATGTTTCAGGGAGATTTCCTCCAAGCAATTCTGACTAAGCAGTACTGATCATCAACGAGTAACTTAATTGAATTTCTACGATGTATGTAATAGCTTCACTAGCTCAGCAAGGTAAGTTTTAAGTCTTGAAAACTGCTCTATCAGGTAAGATTAGATTCAGCTAGGAGTGACTCAAACTTCAAATAACAGCAACCTTAATAAGACAGGCATTTATTTCTGTCATGTAAAAGTCTTGAGGTTGGTAGTTAGGTTGGAGCTGTTATGTTGGCTTCATGGTGTCAGGGATCTGGGCTTTTATGGCCAGAAGCATATGTGCCTTACATTCCCAAGGTTATCTCATGATCTGTTTGTCTGTTAAAACTCCAGGATTTACATCATATTCCCCTCAGTGGGCAGAAGTAAGGATGATTATGCTACCCCTCCTTTTACATCCCAGTAAAGTTATCACCCAGAAGTTGCACATATCACTTCCATTTATAAATTTTTGATCAGACCTTATTCATATAGTCACTAGCTACAAGGAAGGCTAGAGAATGTAGTTCTAATTCAGATGGACATATCACTACTAAAAGTCATAGATTCTATTACTGTATGTTATAAAAGTTATACACCTTGTAGGTATCAACTAAGAGTAAGCACCCATATATTTTCTTGAGATTTTACACTTGCACTTACTTTAAGAAAAGCTGAGTTATTTTTAACATAATGGTGGTGTTTAAGACACTGTTAAAACATCATTTGCAAAAATTTTTAACTTTAGGTGATAATAGGTCATTTAACAGTGAAATTGGAAGAAAGTGTAGGCCTATGAAGAACTACACTTATACATAGACTAAATGATAGTTATTCACTTTTAAAAGGAGATCATAAAATATACTATTTTCTTGATATAGTGTTATTCCCTCACCTTTAAGCACTGGACATTTAGAAAAAAACAGTTCAAAGTCTTAAAGTGCATTACTCACATAATAATTAGAGTGCATGTTATTAAGAAGACTATGGACAAGAATTTTAAAACAATTTATACAGCTTACAGAAAAACTGAATTAGCAAGTTTAACTTTGCTGGAGATAGTAGCAAAGAATCTTTCATAAGAGCTTGAGTGAGTATAATATATAAGCAGCTATATGTTTTCAGGGAAGTATTCCTTTTTTAGAACTTGAAGAGTGTAAGAGTATGTGCCATTAAATAGTAACTTGAATGAGTGTTGCTGAAGTCTTCCCCAGAAAAGAAGAGAGTTGGAAGTACAAAGCTATCTCATGATAACCTTGAAAACTAGCAACCTAAGAACCATAATAGATGAGAAAATCAGAAGCTCAAGATTCACTGGGAGGGAGAAGAAGTGATGTGGAGCTCCTCAAAAACCTTCATCCCCAGAGAATTGTTACTATTTGATCTGTTTGGCAGCTTCCTGGTCTTATCATTATTTGCAGTCTGTCTCTATTCAATCTGACTCAGAGCTCACTCAATGAGGAAAGCTCTATCCCCAGGACAAAAAACAAACAAACAAAAAAACCCAGTGACTATTGTTTAACATTGTAGGTGCCTGAAGTTGCTAGTATTGGAAGTCCTAGCCTGAGCAATCAGGCAAGAAAAAGAAATAAAAGGGATCCAAATTGGAAAAGAAAAAGTGAAACTGTCACTCTTTGCAGATACCATGATTTTATACGTAGAAAGCCCTAAAGAATCCACTAAAAAACTTTTAGAAATAATAAATGAATACTGTCACGTCTCAGGATAAAAAATCAACATACAAAAATCGGCTGCATTTCTATACACCAAGAATGAAGTAGCAGAAAGGGAAACTAAGAATACAATCCAATTTACAATTGCAAGACAAAGAATAAAATACCTAGGGATAAACTTAACCAAAGAGGTGAAAGATCTGTACACTGAAAACTATAAAACATTGTTGACAGAAATTGAAGAAGACACAAAGAAATGGAAAGATATTCTGTGCTCTGGGATTGGAAGATTTAACATAGATAAAATGTCCATACTTCCTAAAGTGATCTATAGTTTCAATGCAATCCCTATCAAAGTTCCAAAAACATTTTTCTCAGAAATAGAACAAAGAATCCTACGGGGGAGCCAAGAGCATACAATGGAGAAAGGAAAGTCTCTTCAATAAATGGTGTTGGGAAAACTGGACAACCACATGCAAAAGAATGAAAGTAGACCATTATCTTACACCATGCACAAAAATCAACTCAAAATGGATTAAAAACTTGAATGTAAGACCTGAAACCATGAAACTTCTAGAAGAAAACATAGGCAGTACGCTCTTTGACATTGGTCTTAGCAGCATATTTTCAAGTCCCATGTCTGACAGGGCAAGGGAAACAAAAGAAAAAATGAACAAATGGGACTACATCAAACCAAAAAGCTTATGCACAGCAAAGGAAACCATCAACAAAACAAAAAGACAACCTAACAATTTGGAGAAGATATTTTCAAACCATATATCTGATAAGGGGTTAATATCCAAAATATGCAAAGAACGTATATGTCTCAACAACAAGAAAACCAACAACTCAATTAAAAAAATGGACAAAAGATCTGAACAGAGATTTCTGCAAAGAAGATATACAGATGGCCAACAGGCACATGAAAAGATGTTTGACATCATTAGCTATCAGGGAAATGCAAATCAAAACTACAATGAGATATCACCTCACTCCAGTCAGAATGGCTATCATTAACAAGACAGGAAACAACAATTGGTGGAGAGAAGGGAACCCTCCTACACTGCTGGTGGGAGTGCAAACTGGTATAGCCACTATGGAAAGCAGTATGGAGTATCCTCAGAAAATTAAGAATAGATCTACCATATGATCCAGCTATTTCACTACTGGGTATTTATCCAAAGAACTTGAAAACACAAAGGCATAAAGATACATGCACCCCTATGTTCACTGCAGCATTGTTCACAATAGCCAAGACTCAGAAGCAACCTATGTGCCCATCAAAGGATGAATAAATAGATAAAGAAGATGTGGTATATATACATAATGGAATACTACTTAGCCATAAGAAATGATGAAATCTGGGCATTTGTGACAACATGGATGAATCTTGAGGGTATTGTGCTAAGTGAAATAAGTCAGAGGGAGAAAGTCAAATACTGTATGATCCCACTCTTAAGTAGAAGATAAAAACAATGACAAACACACACATAGCAACAGAGATTGGATTGGTGGAGGGAGAGGGGGAGGGCAAAAGGGGGGTTTGGGCACACATGAGTGGTGATAGATTATGATTAGTTTTTGGGTGGTGAACATGATGTAATCTACACAGAATTTGAAATATATTACAATGTACATCTGAAAGCTATATAATATTATAATACAATGTTACTGAAATAAAAAATAAAAGTAAAAAAAAAAACCCAGTGACTATTTTTTAACATTGTAGGTGCCTGAAGTGGCTATAGCGACTGAGACAAATAAGAAATTAGCCAAAAACCTTAAAAGGAAAATCTGAGAAATGAGAAACAAAAGGCAGAGATTGCCTAAATGTATTAAAACAAACATGATTCAACAATATGCTGTCTATAAAAGACATACCTTAAATTCAATGACAAAAAGAGAATGAAAAAAAAGGATGGAAAAGATATATCATGCAAACAGTAAACAAAAGAGAACGAAAGTGGCTTACTAATATTAGATATAAAAGGCTTTAAGGTAAAAAATTATTATTGGAGATAAAAAAATGACAGTTATAATGACAAAAGTATTAATCCATCTGGAAGACATAACATTATAAACATATACACCTAACAATGAGGTCCCAGAAGGCACGAAGCAAGAACTGACAAAACTGAAAGGAGAATAGACAATTATATCAAACTCGACACCCCATTTCCAACAATGGATACAACAACCAGACAGAAGACTAATAGGAAATACAGAAATCAAAACAGCACAAACCAGCTATATCTAACAGACACGCATAGAACGCTCCATTCAACAGCAACAGAATTGTTGTTGTGCACATGGATCATTCTCCTGGATGGACCATATATTAGGCTATAAAACAAGCTAGAATAAATTTAAAAGGATTGAGATCATAAAAAGTGTTTTCTCTAACCACAATGGGCTAAATTTAGAAATTAAAAACAGAAATACATTTGAAATATTTTGAAATACATTTGAAAAATTCACAACTATGTGGAAATTAAACAACACACTCCTAAATAACCTAATTGACAAATGGGCCAAAGAAAAAATGGAAAGAGTACATAGATAATACTTTGAGATAAAGTAAAATGATCATACAAGATACTGAAACTTATGGAATGCAGTTAAAGCAGTACTCAGAAGGAAATTTATATCTGTAAATACTCATGTTAAGAAGTTAGAGAGCCAATGCTGATGGCCTAGTGGTTAAAGTTTGGCGTGCTCCATTTCAGCTGCCTGGGATAGGTTCTCAGGTGCAGAACCTCACCACTCATCTGTCAGTAGCCATGCTGTGGTAGTGGCTCACACAGAAAAACCAGAAAAACTTACAAGTAAACACAATTATATACTGGGGCTTTATTGGGGAGGAAAGGAAGAGAAAAGGAGGAAGATTGGCAACAGATTTTAGCTTAAGGCGAATCTTCCTCTGCAAAAGAAAAAAAAGTTGGAAAGACCTCAAATCAATAGCACAAGCTTGAGAAACTAGGAAAAAACCCAAAACCCAAGTGAAAAGAATGAATGAACTAGAGAATTAAAAAACAACAGAAAAAACTCAACAAAACCCAGATTTGGTTCTTCGAAAATATCAATAAAATTGACAAGCCTTTAGGTTGATTGACCAAGAAAAAAACACAGAAGTCTCAAATCTTCTTATCAATATACAAAACTTTACTGTATTTTTATATACTAGCTATCATATTCTGAAAATGAAATTATGAAAACAATTTTATTTACAACAACATCAAGTAGAATGAACTGTATGAATAAATTAAACAGGCTGCAAAACTTTTACACTAAAATCTACAAAACATTGTTGAATGAAATTTAAAAATAAGTAAACAAATTTAAAGACATCTCGTGTTCATAAGTTAGAAGATAATATCTTAAAGATGACATTTCACAAATTGATCTACAGATTTAGTGCATTCTTTT